TGATCCCGCGCCGGGACCCGCGGGGCTCCGCCGCGTCACTCACCTGCGGGAGCGGGGCCGGGGGCGGCGCGGCGGGGCCCGCGGGCGCGGCGGGGCGCGGGCGGGCGGGGGCGCGGGCGGCGGGTCCGCGCTCGGGGCGCTCGGCGCTCAGCGCTCAGTCGCCATTTCCCGCCTACCGACCCGCTGCACCGCACCGAGGGACCCGGATGGCAGCGCCCGCCGCGCACGCGCACCCGCCGGGGGGCGGGCCGGGCAGGCCGGCAGCGAGCGGAGCGGGCCGGGAGGGGGAGCGGCACCGGCAGAGGCACCGGGATCGGCTCCGGGAACGGCACCGGGATCGGCCCTAGGAACGAACGGCACCGGGAGCGGCCCCGGGAACGGCACCGGGATCGGCACCGGGATCGGCCCCGGGAGCCGCCTCAGGCGCCCCGGCCCGGCGGCCTCGCGCGGAGCAGGCGGCGGCCGCTGCTGAGCGGAGTTGGCTCCGGGCCCGGGCTCGCTGAGGTGAGCGGGGAGCGGGAGCGCTGAGGGAGCGCGGGACAGGCGGGGGCGCGAGCGGGGGGGATGGAGGGAGAGAGGGAAAGGAGGGAGGGCCGGGCAGGGGGCGGTGTGAGGGGAAGCCGCGGCCGCCGAGGGGGCGAGCGGCTCTGCCCGGGATCGCGGCGCTGCCCCGGCCGTGCCCCCCGCGGCACCGGCGGGCGCTCCCGGGGCCGGGCCCGGCCCTTTCCCCGGGGTTCGCCCGGCCTGACCCGTCCCCAGAGCGCAGGGCACTGCCCGCTGTGGTTTCGGTTGCTGTTTTAAGTCGCCTGGTGCGAAGTTTTATTTCCGCTTTCTCTTTTCCTTTTTCTAGGCAGCCTCTTTGGGTGCGAAATGCTGAGGACGCTGCATGTGTTGACATCTGAATGGCTTAATGAAGCAGCGTGACCACCTCATGCAGCATAGGAGGATGTAGTGAGGTTACATTTATCGTTTCCATGCTACTGATCCTGGATACCTTCACTGTTCCCTTGATGATCACTTTTACTCACCAGTCTCTTAAACAGGAATCTTCAGTTCTCAGGTTAACCTGTGTTATGACAGGGTAAGTTCTCACGGTATTGCTCAGAACAGAATGTTTTTGTAAGAGTAGCTGGCATCCACATCGTCTAATTCAGCAGTAAAGAAACCCACAGAGGTGTTGTTTCCTTTCCTGGTACCTGTGGACTCCCTGCTTACCTTTAGAACCTGGATCAGATTATAAAATCCCAGCTCTCTAGTCACCTAAAATATTTACTGGCTTGTTTAACAGAACTACATGTGCTGCTGTGAAGCCAAGATCTGTTTTAGAATTCTGTCACAGGACTCTAGTGGTCTGTCTTTAGCAGAAGACACTATAAAGCTAATTTTACCATCATTTTCTTAAAAGAAGAGGTCATGGAAAGGCACTGGAAACAGTGCAGCCCTCCTTCAGAACAGGTAATAGTTATTCCTTTAGAGCATTCAAGTAAACACTTAACAACAGTACATGAATATTTTGTGAATGATCAGCTGTGAAAAAGGTTCGTTTGGACATGTTAAAGCTTAATTAACACCGTTTGGCAGTTTCTTAGGAGGAACTAGTATGGCAGGATAACTGTGTGATGTCTCATGCTGAGAGCCCAAAAGGACATTCACTGATACTTAGAAAGTGGGAGTTTTGGGAAATGGTGGGTGGAAATACTCTCTCAAGCCATGTAATTAAAATGAAATGAGCTGCCAGAGGAGATCATCTAGCAAGAGTCAAAGCAAGCAGGTATTTGTGAGAGCACCAGCATGGCCAAAAACACGCTGGGAAGACATTAAATGTGTGACTCAGGGTTCAAACTGATCTTTTTGGCAGTGAGAACTGTACTTTTCTCTTACAGGATATCAAAATATGTTTTCCACAGTGCCTTGTGCTCTCCTCGCGTGCCCCGGTGCTGAGTTAGGGAGAGGGTGGGAAGGGACCTGAAAGCCCAAACTATTCCATGATTCTCGCTGGTATTCCAGCCCCCTTCTTGCAGGTAACACCGTGAACCCCGAGCACAGCAGCTCAGTCAAGTTTATTTTGCCAAAGTGAAAACAACTGTGACAGGACTGAGGGTTGTAGAAACAATTCTTGTTTGAGTTTATATTTTACTATTGCCCATTTCCAGTGTTGGTTCTTTTGCTTATCTGAAGGGAATCAAAGCCATCCAGCATGTGAGTTAAGTGAAAAGCAGCTCCCAGGCTGTGCTGCTGCTCCATCCCCGATGTCTGGGAGCCAATCTGGCTGTCCAGGAGCAGCTCCAGACTCACTGTTCTCACTGCTGACACTCCAGCTGACAGCAACAGGGATTCATCTGCTCCCAGATCCCCACAGAAACACGTGGGAATGAACCCTGTGTTTGATCTGGCACAGTGCAGCACGGAGAGGGGCACGAGACATTCCTCCAGGGATGGAACTGCGCAGCCACAGGTGGCCAAGCCCTGTTTTGGGAAGTTAAACTGTAGATTATCCATACCAGTAATCCCAGTGTGGCTACTTGGGGTTTGCTATAGGTTGAGGAATTGGAGTATTCTGGTTTCTATGTTGGCAGGAAGAAGTTCAGGCATAAATATGATTACTGTGTTTCTGGCGGGCTTGAAAATTCCACTGCACTCTCATAAATAGGGAGATGCCCCCAGTTGGTTTTGTGGGTTTGTTTTCCTCTTTTATTTAAACTACAGGAATCTGGTCTCCTCAGTCCTGGAGCCAGCTGGAACAGCAGGACACTGTGCTCCCTCTCCATATAAAGTGCCCAATCTCTCATTTGCTAGTTCATCACAGCAAGATTTTTGATCCTATTAAATATTCTGGTCAGTCTCCTCAAGGAAGGGTCCCAGGTTGCTTTAACTGGAAGTTCCATACTTGGGTCCCATGTTACTGAAAGCTCCTTGGAATAGGGATAGCAGCTGACAGATTTATGGCAGGTTGAAATTCCCCTTAATAGGGATAAAGGAGAAAGGTGTCAGACAGGGAATTTCTTCAGACTTGTGTGAACAGTGAAATAGGTCCTGATGAAAATCTGGGATCAAACCCCTTGTTTTAAGTAAACTAGTACTGATCAGTGCAGCTCTTCTCCAGGGTGCAAACTGTAAACAGGGAGAGTAAATAAATTTACAGAAAAGACCTTTTGCCCTTTCTGTGGGTTCTTTTGCAAAGCACTGTCGAGCTCTTCTGTCCTGCAGGCTTTGGGTTCCCCACTGTTGCTGGGTTTGCCTACATGAAAATATAGAAGAACATTTAATAAAATCCACAAACCATTTACCTCGTGTCTGTTTGCGTCTTGTCACTTTGAAGTGGCTCTTTGCAGCCATTAAAACGCTGAAAAATGTGGAGTTTGAATTTGTTTCATTCAGAACTGGGTTTTCCCTTTTGGTGAGATCCTGCCCATCAGTTTGGTTTTCCTCATGTTTAATCTAAAATGGGTTCATTGATGAGTCTTGGTTTTTGTGGGATCTGTGTGACTTTGGGAAAGCTTCAGCAGCGTGTTTGCTGAAAACCTCCAAAACTGGGCAGCTGGGACTGGCTGGCATAACTGGAGTTGTTTCTCTGGCTCTTGGTGCAGGTGCCTGTGGTTCTCACAGGGGCTGAACTCGCCCCTCAGCCTTGGCAGCTGGATCTCAGCTCTCTGTTTGAAATCCCAGTGGATCCAAAGGGCTTTCCAAGTGGAGCCTCAGCCCCAGGATTGGACGCACGGCGGAGCTCCCTGGGGGTGTGGGTGAAGGGCTGTGTTGGGTCTCTCCTGTGAGCCCTGGAATGGGAGAGCTGGGTTGGCTGCAGGTTCGCTGGGGGCTGAGGAAGCAGCTGCTGGAGATCTGTCAGCGTTGTGTGTGCTGCCATCGCCATGGAAACAGGAACTGGCTCCGCACAAACCGCACAGGGACGTTGGAATTGCACGTTCAAAACAAACCCAAGCTGGTTTGTGGCTTCTGGTCCTCAGACCCCGCGTGGTGCCACACAGCCCAGGGGCAGGGTGGGCCTGTGAATCCACATTCATGTTTGAAAAAGAGCTGCTGTTCGATTAGCAAAGTGCATTTATTGTATTCAGTGCATCACATGCTCTTCCAGGTATCTGAGGACATCCCAGAGTTCTCCTCCCTTTGCTCACCTTCCTCCAAAGAAAGGGAAGGGATCCTGGATGAGAACTCCAGGTGTCAGCCAGTTGGCAAAGCCCCCTGTTCTTAAAAAAAACAGAGAGTGGCTCATGAAACACACAACTGAAAATTTGTGACTTTGTATCATGAGCCACTTTCTATTTTCTCCTCATGAAAATGAAGCGAGATCCATTTTGGGGCTCCTTTGTTTGCCCTGGGGGACACTGGCCTTGGGAACAGCACCTGAGAGCCAGAGCAGCTGCCCAGGTCAGCACTGCTGCAGCAGGAAAATGGGATTACACTGGAGGGACTTGGTGCTTCCCAGGCTACTGAACAAAGAACAAATTGCACATGAAGTTCAGAGGATCCTGGAATGACTTGGGTTGGAAGGCACTTTAAAGCTCATCCAGTCCCATGGGCAGGGACACCTTCCACCAGCCCAGGTTGCTCCAAGCCCCATCCAACCCTGGACACTTCCAGGGATCCAGGGGCAGCCACAGCTGCTCTGGGTAACCTGTGCCAGGGCCTGCCCACCCTCCCAGGGAAGGATTCTGAGCTGTTTTCATGGATCTGTCAGAGCACCTGGGCAGTGTCACACCCACTTGGGATGTGCCTTAGCCCTGGCACTGAGCAAGGACAGCAGGGAAGGGAAAAACAGCTGAAGCTGTGAGTGCAGAATGGTTTAATCTCTACATTTAAGAAGTAGCTCTTTAATTTACTGGTCTTCCCAAGCTGTGCCATGTGATGCTGCACTACAGACAACACTGGGTTGGGCTGGTACTGAACCAGAACACAGCACTGAGCTGGACCTTCACTTTTTAAATGCAGCAGCTTTTTTTGTCATTGACACTTAAGCAGTAATAAATTGTCTTAAAACCCACCAATAATTGTAGAAGTGTTGAACTTTATTTAAGAGTTTCACTGAGCTGGCAACGAGCAAACCTGCCCCGTTACTTCAGCCCAGCACCTGAGCACAGGGCTGAGTTCAGTCCCCCTCGTCAGGGCCTACAGCCTGTGTCCCCAGGAGCCCTTAGAGGAGCAATCCCCTTCATTCCCACACTGCAGAGCCATGGAATCATCTCCACAATTCCGACAGTACTTTAACACAGAACACAGAGAAGGGTCTGACTTACAGATGCGATGGAGCAAACCCGTCCGTGGGCCGTGGCAGGTGTTCAGAGCTGTAGCAAGGGATCAAACTGCACCTGGGCTGGACACCCTGGCACAGCACACCAGCAGTGAACCCAGGGAGGGGCTGGTCCTTCTGTCGACGGCAGGCACAGCTGCTGCACACGTGTCTCTCACTCACACCCTTGCTCTCTTTAACACAAAGATCTCCTACAAGCCGTGAATTATTTATAATTATTTATATCAATTTATATCTTTTAAATCAAGCTATTAGTTGCACAACTTTTTGGGGATGTACCAAATTATTGAAGTCCTACTGTAGATTTGCAGCTCTAGCTACGAGATGTGGTCGCTGTACAGGAGTTGAGTGGCAATGGTGCCGAGGGCTGCCCCGGCCTGGGTCACACCGAGGAGGGAGCAGCTACTGAACCGTTCAGGTCTCATTCCCAGCTCGTGGCTCACCTGCTGGACAAACCCAGCACTCGGGAGCAGCAGTTCTGCCCACACAGGTGGGACTGTAGAAAAGGAGTCCTTGGCTGTACATGGCTTCCACAGCGGCTTTGTTACATCAGGTACAAACTGTACAAGTTCTCCAGGTTCCAAAGTGTTGTAAATGGCAGAAACAGTTCAGCCTGTGTTTATAGACCGGGCTTAAGTGTAAAGATTATTTCAGATAAGGACCAGGCTGAGCAACCGGCTCCGTGTGACAATGCTGGTTTAACACAGCCCGCAGTAGTACAAGTATGTACATATGTACAGTGGGTCCTCTTCACCTGCTGACTGAGCACACTCGGCACTTCATCCTCAGCTTCCTTGGAAGTAGGAAACACTGGAGTAGAACTGGTTCAGTTTTGCAGCACCTCAAGTCCCTGGGTTGGGCTCTCTGTGCCCCAGGCCTACAGGACCCCATCGCTGAAGCGGGACTTGTAGTCCCCCAGGTCGTTCTGGTCTCGCTCCTCATCATCTGCAATGAAATCACAGGTCAGTTACAGCTCACACACTCGGATCAGCCCTGATGTGACCTCTGAACGAGCACCCAGCTGCAGCTCCCCAGGACGTGCTGCAGTGGGCCCAGTGGGGACCCTGGGGCTGCAGTGCCCCCTGCTCCACAGGCTGACTGCCCTCAGAGCCTGCACCGCTCACACTGTGGCTCTGAGACTCCTTCTGCCAACACCTCAAACTAAAACCCAACTCCTGTGGAAAGGCCCATTCCAGAGTTCGCTCTGTAAGGCTTCACAGAACCTCTGGGGCTGGCACTGGGACCCCTTCCAGACCAAGGGAATACTTTTCCCACCCACTTCCCAGCTGACACCTTCCACACAGTCGTGGCACGACACATTTTTCCCTGCTGGGATGTCTCCTGATGCTGCAGTTGACTTTGCTGTCAGTGTTTTTCCAAACTGCTGTCTTGTATCTCAGACTCACGGGTAAAATTTGGAGAGGCTTTGGAAAACCCTTCCCAGGCTCTTATGCACAGAATCCCTGTTCCCTCTCGGCACACTGGGCCAGGGAACACAGGCAGGAGCTCGGCAGGCAGGGGCTCTCTCAGCCCCCAGTTGCCTTTGGTTCCTCTTCCCAAGGGAGTCACAGCTCTGTCCCGACGGGCAGATGTGGATGTTTCACCTTCCCTTCCAGCCCCAGACACTGTCTCCACGTCTCTCCTCTGTCCTGCTTCCTGACTTTGCTGCTTGGGGTTTGGCCTTTGAGCCTCCTGAGAGATGGTAAAATAACCCCCCCTGAGTTGTGCCCCCTCAGTGTAACCACTGACTGCAGCACATGCAGAAAATTCACAGAGGAAATGCACATTCAGTATTATTTTATGGGACATTTTAAAATATTCCACATTCTACCTGCCACAATCCAGTTGTCCTATGTGGCTCCCTGGCCTCCTTCCCTCAAAGGGTGAAAACCCCACAAAACTTCCATTTGTTCCAATTAATGAGCTTCCCCTGCACCTCAAAGCTGTTCCTTCATATCCAGGGGATGGCTGTTCACAGGAATGGAAAGCACAGTGTGAGCTCACCCGTCTCTCACCAGCTGCCTGGAGCAATCTGCACCCTCACACCCAGCACCCATCGCCCCGTGGGCCCTGCTCCAGCAGCAAAGGGCTGCAGTTCACCTGCATGGCCCATGAGGAACTGCCACCACAGCTCCTGGGCATCCTGGAGCTGCTCCCCCTCTGCCACCCGGGCCCCACAAACACCTTTCCTGCAGCAGAAACTGCCACCTTCAAACAAGGCCTGGCCTTCAGCAGGTGATGAGGGCAGGGACAGCAGGCTGGGGCTGCCCCTCCCCAGCACATCTCCCAAAGGGAGTATTTTCCCTGGATAATTTCCATCTAAGCCCACACATTCCTCGTGGCAAGAGAAACCAAGTGGAATCCAGTGGCTTTGTGGCACGTGCTGCAGGCTTTGTTCAGCCTGATGCAGACCGGGGTGATGTTTTCCTGACAGACAGAAATTCTTATTTTTTTATCTCCCTAAACAATTGTAACCACTCTCCCTCCAATGTCACCAGTTCTCCCCTCTCCTGCCCTGCAGAGAAATCAGTGTAATGCCCAAAGCAGATGCTTTTCCTGGAATGCTGCCCCTGGAAGCACCACTGGCCACATTCAAATCACAGCTCAAGCCAAGTCAACAAGTTATTAGGGAACAACAGAACAAAGGGCTTGGGAACTGCGGTTGGAGGTAGTAACACATTCTGCTCACATCACCCCTCAGTAAAAGGCTCCCAGAAGTCACCCTTTAACCTTCACTGGCTCTCATTAACCCAGTCTGTCTATACAGAGACACAGGGGGGTTCACCAGGAAAAGGATTTTCCCAAGTCCAAATTCCAAGCCCCCAGAGCAGGGACCCAACGCAGCTGGGAGATGGTTTTATGGGGTCACTTTCAGTCAGAGCACTGCTTTTTCCAACACCCCTCACACTGCAAGCTACACAAGCACAATCTGGATTTTAACAACCTGGCACCACTTGTCCATCCCTCCCTCACACCCACCCCTTCCTAAGTGGCATATGGGAAAGCTGTCCATGCCCCTGGTAACTGTTCACAGCACACCTGGCACCGACTCCTGAAGCCACACTCCCTGGGAAGGCCCCCCCAGCCGGGTACTGGTGCTGATGGAGCAGCAGGAGCTCCGAGGGAAGGGCCAGGGCACTGTCCCTGCATGGGCAGCCACCTCCTGCCAGGAGGGGGGAGCCATGTGGGGGTCAGGCTCTGATCCCAGGGAACAAGGGACAAGTGGGGAAATGGCCTCAGGTTGTGCCAGGGGGGTTCAGGTTGGATACTGGGAACAATTCCTTCATGGAAGGGGTTGTCCAGCCCTGGCACAGCTGCCCAGGGCTGACTGAGGGCAAGGGGACTGGAGCAGGAACCCCCTGGCACTGTGGGGTGTGCAGAGCACAGGGACAGCCCCCACCCCTGCTCAGGACACAGCAGAGCCGGCAGGAACACGGCTCCCACTGCCCAGCACTGCCAGAAACACCAGCAACCACACCATCACTGTGTGTTTTGGGTGGGAAGGGACCTTAAGGCCCTGCCAGGGGCAGGGACACCTTCCACTAGACCAGGTTGCTCCAAGCCCCGTCCAGCCTGAATCCTGCTGTGCCCTCTTGCAGCTGCCAGCTGGGATGAGCAGATGACAGCCCAAGGATCCCTCTCTGGAGGGACAGGGGTGAGCACACAAACCCACTGTGAATTCTGAGCACAAGGGTCACAGAACAGGCCTCAGCTTGAGCAGAGGGTTGCAGTTCATCAGTCAGTCAATTAGTCGCCCAGGGTTCTGATCCATCCTTTTCTTTCCCTTGTTCATTGAGTTTCACACTCCCAGGCCAGCCCAGCCCAGCCTGCTGACACTGCACACAGTGCATGCCCACACAGTCAGCTGCTTTTTAACAGTTTTGCCCATTAATTATGCTTAGATACCAATTAAATACTTGTATGAAAAACCTCCAGCTAAAAACTTACATTATGAGGATCAAAATCAGGGGGTTGATTTACCATCTCCTATTTCCCCCGCCTCTTTATTTTACACTTTCATTTAGCTGGAAACACTCTCTGTGTACACAAGCATTCTCCCCCTACAGACATGCAGGCCTGTCACAAATATCCCCACACAGCTGGATGGAGAATGGCACACAAGGCAGGCACAGGCAGGGACAGACAAGCGAGGGAGGGGATGCAGGAGCCACATGCAGGGGGGTGGCCATGCACACACAGGGGGCATTAGGCAGCACTGGCTCAGCAGCTGTGAGGCTGGTTAGCAGAACACCACAAGCCTGTTGAATCTGTGTATAATGCACAGGAGTGACACCTGGAATCGCTGCCTGAGGCCCCACTGCACAGCAGCTCCAGGCAGTGTGACGAGAGCAGCACCCAAAACACCACATTCCTCTGTTGGACAATTTAGGAATGTCCAGGCCCACAGCCCACCCAGCCAGGAACCAGAGCTGGGGGTTTGGGTAAAACCATGCCTGGAATTTAGTGCCTTGCTTTTCCTAGCAGGAACTATACCCAACTGCAGTGAGGTGTCAAAACCCTCTCCCTGAAGACTGGTGCTCTGTCTGAGCAATTTGTGATCAGCTAAACCAGCGAGGCTTTACACAAATTCAACAAGTAACTCAGCGTGGGTTTGTCACAATGGGATGGAGATAAGGCCCAAGCTCACCTTGGACGTCTTCTTCTCCACCATCACCATCCTCTTCCTCATTGTAAGCCAGCTCAGCCTGTTTGTCTGCCTCATACTCACCCACGTTCCCATCATCCCCATTATAATCTGCCAGTTTAGAACCCTGCTGCGGGTCCACAGGGGATTCATTCTCATCAAAGAACCGGCCTGTGGAGTAGGAAAGGAGTGAGTCAGCAGCAGAGAGGAAAGAAACAGGGAGACTCTACACGAGAGCAGGTCACAGGTGGAGGTAGCTGGGGTCTGGGGTAGTTCCAGCTGGAGAGAGAGGAGGGAGCAGGGAGAGGGCTTGGACAGGGGGAGAACAAGGCTCATGGAGCACCCCCGTGTGGAAAGGACACACTCTGTCACCCAGCACTCGGACCTCCTGGAATGTGACTGTCCCAAGCTCCTGCCTCCATGGAGAAGGGCTGCAGTGAGCCCCTAAACCAGCACCTTGGAGTGCCTATGGACACTAACACACGTTTCTCAAAGTGCTGAAGAGCATCGCTCAGTGGAGGGTTTAGTCTCCATTTCTCCCGAGCCCTGGCATTTTCCACAGGCTGGAGTGATCACTGCTGATGTGGTGCCTGGCAATACCTGCAGGGTGTGCCCAGCTGGCACAGGGGAACCCAGCAGAGACCTGCCCTGCAGTCTGACCTCCGTTTGTAACTACCTCATTCACTGGCTTTACACTCTGCCTTCCTGCTGAGCTCTGACAGGGTTCAAAATGTCCCGGAGCACAGAACTTTTGTCTCCCCACCAAAAATTAAGAATAGTTCCAGGTCCTGAAACAACGCACAAGAAAAACAAGCCTTAGCTGGAACTATGGAATGAGCAGACAGTCAGGCAGGCACACAGGGAGACACCACTGGTGTGATGTCCAGTCCAGAGCTGGTGCTGAACGGGGTGCAGCTGTTCCAGCCCAGCAGTGCAGACTGCCTGCCTGCTGCTTGAAGGGAGCAGCTCTGAGTCTGCTGAGGCCACAGGCCTGGAGGGCTGGGTATAAATGAAAAAAAAATGGCTTAAAGTGTGATACAGTCTTTACAGACTGGGCACCCAGGCTGCTGGGTGAGAGATTTGCAGTGGGAGTAATTAACAGAGAAGTAAATGGGAGGATGATTTCAACCTCAGGATTAAAAGGGGACAGATATGAAAATGAAATGATTTTCCAAAACAGTGAAAACTTTCCTATGTGGTAGAATATAAAGATCAGGACAGAAGCAGTACTGTGGCTCTTCTCTGGATGGGGAGAAAAGCAGCAGAATCACTCCTGGTGCAGCTCAAATGGACAGAAGCAGCAGTTTCAGGTATTTTCACAGAACAAGCAAGAAGAGACCATGATCTGTTTAGAAATCCCAAGTTCCATACATTATTAATTCCCTGTTCATGTCAGCCAGTGATCCTGGCTATTACTGATGGTATTTTTGACACAAAACCCAGACAGGACAGGAGGATTTGCACATGTTAAACCTAAACCGAGTCATGAAACACAACGGAATGTCCCCAACTTCCAGCACAAGCACCTGTGGGTGTGCCAGAGGAACTGTGACACACAAACTGAACCTGACAGCAGCAAAGACTGAAACGATGAGGAGATCCCAGGAAATGCAGCAGGTCCACACAGGCTGTGAGCTGAGCTCAGTGAGCCCCTGGTGTGCAGGACCCCCCTGTGAGCCCAACCCTCCCCATCCCACCCCTGCCATGGGCAGGGACGCCTTCCACCAGCCCAGGTTGTTCCAAGCCCTGTCCAACCTGGCCTTGGACACTGCCAGGGATCCAGGGGCAGCCACAGCTTCTGGGCAACTGTGCCAGGGCCTGCCCACCCTGACAGGGAAGAATTTCTTCCCAATATCCCCATCTAATCCAAATATGAAGGAGCAAAGAGAACAGACTAATCAGTGACAATTCCTGACTCCCACGTACCCCCTCACAGCCTACAATGGAGACATTTCCTTCACAGCTCCTGCCTACACAACTACCCCCATCATTTAATACATGGCCAGGGAAAACACATAATCCATTAAAAACCCAACAACTTCACTATGAAGGTCTCTCATTCCTGAAGCTTCTTCAAGAAGCTCCCTTGACAAACTAAGCAGTCTTGAAGACCTCAGGGTGCAGAGGGGAAGCCAAGACTGCCCAGGTTCTGTGCCAGCTTAATACACCTATCCCTGCTGCCTCACAAAGATCCACGAGTCATGTCAGAACATCCAAAGTCCTCCCAAAAGATCTGTTTCTTCAGAAAAATCTTATTCAGATAAAAAAAACCCCAAGAGAAGATGTTTCAGCAGTCAGTTTTTCCTCCCAAACACCCCTTCCCCACCCAAGTGCTAAACAATTAGAACTGGGTCTTCAAAAACAGCCTCCACCACAACACACCTGTGTGCACCTGTCTGGGGGCTCCTGCCCTGAGCAGACACGGAAGGGAAGGGTTCTGGAACCACGTTCTGTCCAACACACATTCCCACCACCACCAAAATCCCTCAGTAACTCAGTATCCTGTGTGTATCAACATCCTGACTTAATCTATTTAAATGTGCAGTAATTTCCAAGAGCATTCTAAATTCCAATAAGGACATAATCTTTTTAAATAACTGAATATACATGTGAAAAATAACACACTAAAGCACATCTTTTACCCAGGAACACATTACAATCCTTCCCAGGCTCCCTCTCCAAAGCCACCCTCCGCAGTGGTCCCTGTTTTCCAGACAGGCACTCTCACAGACAGAAAATGAAGGGATATTTTAAATATACTGAAGTGTGTGATATTGGCCAACTTACTTTGCTTAACCTTCTGCAAGTCGTTAACTCGGCTCTTTGGGATTTGTATCTGTTCTGTCTCAATTTTGTGCTCTTTCTGGGCTTCCACCTTTTCTTCAAAGGTCAGGTGCTGGAGAGGGTTTGGAGGGATCTGCTTCGCAGCGTTGGCGTTTCCATCACTGTCACTGGGCAAACCTGCAGGGAAGAGGCGTCAGTGTCTGCAGGTCTCACATGGCTCCAAGGAAGGCAGAGGATAAATAACTGGTCACATTTTAGTTCCTAATCAATCCCATGCTGTCATCTTTCCAACTTTCTACATGTGTTTCAGCTCTCCACAAAGCTCAGAACACACATTTATGTATTTCTTTTATCCTCCTGCTGATTCTGCTTTTCAAGTCTACCAAGCATCATTTATGGTTTCAACAGCTCTGATCTGAGGACAAGGGTGTGGCAGGGCACAGAAGTTATGCTAAAAACAACCACCAGAATCACAGGACTCCATAGCCAAGGAGCCCAGAACACCCTGACTCCCCTGAAACTCTCATCAAACTCCTGTGGATAAACTCCAAGCTCAACAAAACAAGCTTTTCACTTCCTGCAACTTATGTTTTCTCATTAATAAAAGTGAAAATGAAGGACTATCTTCAAAGGAAACAAACTGTTTAAAAGATGTGGCACTTGGAAACAACAATCTTTAAATGTGTATGCAGGCTTTGAGCTCCCTCATTTTGGAATTCTGCTCACCCATCCACTGCAAAAGCAAAGAAATCAAGAAAAACTTCTGTTGTCTTTTTCCAAAAGAACCAATGGCAGGCAGAGCAAAAACCTGGAGCTGTTCTGTCATCCTGAGAACTTTATACTTAATTTATTAATATTAAAGTTATATCACTGCAGGACTTTAAGTTCTCATGTCCTAAACCTCCCCCATGTCATTCTCAAGTGAGCTGTTCCCAGGGCCAGGAGGACTCTGAGCAAGAGACAGGAATGCTGGTTTATCTCTGACTGTGGCCACCAAGAGATCAACAACCAACCCCTGAGGGTGCAGCCCTAATTAGTACCCTAGGGGGGAACACTCATTTCAATTACTCTGTCCACCAGAGGACTCTCCAAGCACTTCTCTTTGAACCTTCTGACTCAGATTCAGCTGCAATTGGCCCAAAGGCTCAGGAATTCCTGCTGTGGAGGGTACAGGGAGAGATCACACAACCAGCAGCCTGAGTGCCTCAGTCAGCCAGCTAAGAACACAGCCTTGGATCCTGCAGAACTTTGGTTTTCCTCTGGTAACCAAACTGCCTTGTCCCCTGCTAACAGGAGTTGTACCTGGTGCCAGGTTTGGAGCGTGGGGCTGTTCAGTTGGAAGATTCATAACAGGTGGATGACCTTCATTCTTGGGAGCTGAAATAAGCGGCTTCTTTAAAGCTAGAACAGAACACAGGGACAAAACCATTAACAGGAGACAAACAAGACACTATTTACCAGGTCAAACTCTAACAGGCCTGTAAAGTCTTTGCTTTCCTTGTTTTCTCAGTTTTAAACCACAGATGAAAATAAAAACAACAATAATATTTTGGGAGGGGGGATTATCTGAAACATTCAGTTTTGAGCATTCCAACCTCTAAAGCACAAAAGAAATGATCTGATTTTACACTGCACTTGAATTTTATTACCACAGAGAGATCTCAAAGCCCTGCATTCACTGTGAACCACATGGTGTTCACACACAATATATACGTCACTAAGACCCCAAACATGAAAGAATTTAGAGTATTTCCCCTCACCAGTGGGAGTGTCTTCAGCTTTTGCTGGGTCATTATCTTCTATTTCAGGCATGCCTGCATCTCCTCCTGCTTTGATTTTCTCTGCAAGACAAGAACAGGATATTCTGCCTTACTATCCTTTCAGTCTGAGCAGTGAATGTCCCCCTTGTGGGAGGCTCTAACTTAGTCAAATCACTGCAGCTAATCTGAGCCAAACAATTCCTTGTTCTGCTTCAGAGAAATGCACAGTTCTGGAGGATGGCAAAGGATGCAACACAACTGGCCCATTCTCCATCAGAAATGCCAAGAAAGGAAATACCTTTGTCATTTACAACATGCTCTGAAGGCTCCTCGTTCTTCTCTGTGTCTTTACCTTCCTCTGCCACCGTCTCAGGTACTGCCTGGCCATCATTGCTGGGACTGACTTCAGTGTCTTTACTGGACTGAACTTTCTGTGTGGCCTGTTAGAACAAATTCATAAGGAGCCAAGATTAAGCACATCCCTGGAAATTACAAAACAAATGCCCTCAAATTCAAGATTACTTTGGGTAAGCAAAATTGCATTTATGACTTCACTGATGAGCAAAGCAACGAGCAGAGTCCTCTCTGCACAAACCTGGGGGTATGGACACACAACTGAACAGGCAATGCTCAAAACAGCACAGCTGCAGGACATTTCTACTGCCATTCCAGGTGTTAAGCACAACACAAACAGGTTAAGGTGTGGTTGGCCTTAGGCCTCAGGTCAGATCCCTGAAGGAATTCGAGACTGTAAGAAAAGATCTGTCGGAAATCTGCTCTCAGTCTGCCTTATTATTTGAAATGTTTATAGGCAGACCAAGTAAGAAAACGAAATTTTCAGCAAAGCAGGTTATTTCATCGGTTTGCAGGAAAGAGGCCCAAATTCTACTGGCAGCATCTTGTAATCACAGCCTTGATACCATTCCAACACTGTTATTTCCATCACATTAGCTCCTGGAGGCCTCAGCAGAGCTCAGTTCCCTGTGCAGTAACCTGGGCAAGGCTGTGGGAACACAGATCCCACCCTGGAGAGCTGAGCAGCAATATCCACGTTACAGCAAGAACTGAAATCCTCAGCAATGATGTCACGGAGGAGGGCTGGAGCAAAGCAAACAATTTGGCCTCATCTTCCAGCTCAGTCCACTGGCTGAGCAAACAGGCAGATTTCCTACATTAACACCCATTTAGGGCTGCTCAGGGGGATGTTTAACACAAGGTTAGGAAGGAAATGTCCCAGGCCTCCACATCTCTGAGGCAAACAGCAGACTTTGGGCTCTTCTCACTCAACACAAAATTCCCTGGCATTACCTTTTGTTCCCGTGCAATCTGGTCCATTAATTTCTTGATGTTCTCTTCATGCTGCAGCCTCATTTCCTTGATCTGCTGCCCACACTGCAGGCTTGAGGAGAAACACACCGTTAGATATATTTCATTTGTTGTATCTGCTCTCCCACAAATCAAATAAGGGGGAAAATATGAAGTGGCACAAAAAGCCAAACCTGAGAGATAACTAGAATAGTCTGTCCAAAAAGCCTGGTCCTGGCATGTGTATGGAGTGGGAATGGACTGAATACAGAAAGAAAGCAGAACTGGAAAAAATAGGGACAGAGCAGAAAAAACAGTAAAATAAACAAAATGGCCTTGAATATATTTCCTCCAAAAGCTGGAATGCAACCAAAAAGTCAAGCTCCACAGTTAATCTGTCAGCAAATATTAATTCTACCGGGAAAGCAACGTGTCTTTCACGGCTGTCAACAGAGAAGGTACACAACTACCACTATCAGTTACTGCTCCCAACTCAAATAACGTGATCTGAATACATAGCCACGTGTCCCAACTTCCCTAACAAGCCACAGACATCAGCCTGAGCAGCAGAATTCCCATCTCCCACAAACCCTCAACAGCGCAGAAAGAACATTTTGTGTGTGTGAAAGCTTCAAACACTTTCTCAAGTGTTAAACCTCCCTCCCTCCTCAAAGCTGCAGGAGTAGTTTGTTCCTCTTTCTCCATCGTCAACTTAAAAGGCTGAGGTCAACTTAAAATTTCAATCTACACAATTGCTGCTTTCAGCTTCAGTTAAAACAAATGAAATGACACTGTCAGAAAGGCAGCAATGACCAACACCAGTGACACAGGACTGTGTCCATTAAGCTCTACCATGAGTTTGTTAACTAAATCTCCATGTCATAAAAAATGCATTGACTTAAAAATGCTGACCAATTCGAGAGTAAGTCAAGATTCCCCTTAACTCCTATCTCCCTTTGAGGTAGCAGGACACCACCAAGAAACAGACCTTGAAAGTCAAACAGCTAACAGCGTGCATCGCCGAGTGAGCACACTCAGGCTGGAGGATCAGCAGACACAGGATTAACTGGCACTTTTTAGTAAGCACAGACCCCATCACACGCACAAACCTGCAGTTACCAACACTCCTGAGGACATACCTGTCATATTCCAGCCTCCTTGTAAGGTAGGTGTTGTTCTTCTTGTACTCGTGCAGCTGATCCTCCTGGCGGATGAACTCCTGCCGTAACTCTGCCAGTTGTTCTAGGCCAGAAAGGAAACACCACTGTGAACTGAGAAACAAAACTAAAAACGCCCTGGGGCAGACACAACTTTCAGTATTGCTAAATAAGTAAAAAGCCTCTCGGGTTTTATGGTAGTTCATCTAAAGATTCTTAAACTAATTTGAAGAAGATGCCACTTCTCTCATGTAAAGATGAGTGCCAGACGGCAGCATGAATTAGAGAAATTCTTCTGATGCTACAGCAAACCCCATAAATTTTTCTTTACCTTAGCATTGCGTAAGGCTTCTAAATGCAATTTCACTGTCTGTCAGGAAATGCAATTTCCTGAAAGATTCTGTGACCCTGAGTAACACAAAAGCACTACCAGGTTACTTCAGGCATGACACTCAAATACTGTCTGTAGTGACTGTACAAAAGGAGGCACCTTCCCGCTATCCACAAAATCAACACGTATTTCCTGTCTCCACAACTGGTCTGGAAGTTCTCCCTGCTCCTCAGGCTACAAGTAATTACGCTTTCTGCTGTTTTAAGCTGCAGCTGCACAGATACAGGCAGAAACCACGTGTGGCGGTGTGTGCAGGCACGTTCACGTTTGGGCACTGGCTGCTCCAGCTCCCCCTGCAACACTCCAGACACGGTAAGACCACAGGCATTAGAATCATGTCTGTACAGATCAGCCTTAAGAGATGTTTTCTGGAGCTTTTCTAACCCAGCATAGCCACCACAGTGTTTCTGACCAAACTATAGCAATCTGTGTACTTGGCCATGAAAATGATTCTAAAAGCTTGGAGGTCAGCAGTGCCCGAGCACACTTTCCTTCTGCAGACAGCAATGTCCAACCCTACACTTACCCACCCCAGGAACAAACAATGCAATGAGACTGCACATTATGGGATGTTCCAGCATCACCTGATCCTTCCTTTAAACTGCATTCTGCAGCACCTGGGCAGGTAAAGTGCCCGGCTCAAGCCTGCCAAGTGAGTTTGGCCATGAAGCCCTCACCCTTTAGCCGGTGTATGTCCGCCATCTGATACGAGATGTTGTTCTGCAGCTTCATCTGGAAGGAAGAAAAGGCTGGATAAATACAGGTAAGCAGGGGGGTGGCAAGGGTTTGGGCTGCAAACACTCAGGTGTGTCTGTTTGCTTTGTAAGGCAAATGTATAGAGAGGATTATGGCACCAACAAAGTGCCGGGAAATCCAAGTCCTGTGTATTTAGTGACATCACCAAACCAACACTGTGTTCAGGCTTTGCTAACAAGGGCTTTAAGTTTAATTCCAGAACACACTTCTATCAGGAAAGTAGATTGTCAGGACTAAAATAAACATACTGCATCCTGATACTGCAGGAGGGACAGTGAATGGCCAATGTCAAAGCACAGGTGGGTAAAACTAAACATGCAGCACCAACAGCAAAACCAACTGTTACCTAAGTACATCATATAACAGAATTCTTATATTTAAATAAATCTTTTACATGTTGCTACTTAATATTTCTAACATAAATTTTATTTTAAGAGGGAATCTGACACCAGTAAAATTCCACAACAGCTTTTAATTTGGTATTTTCAGTAAGGAAAAGAATAGCAGTTACAGTAAGAAATGCATGTACACAAAGTCTTGAAGTAAAGACACTTTTTCTTGTTGTTACATAAAGACAAAGCCCAGCAGGAATGAAGAGGAAGATGCATGAACAGACTATGCTGAGAAAGGGTGGAAAATCCCCACCTGCCATCAAGCACCTCAGAGGCTGAGGTTATTCTTCTTGCAGTCCCATGATGAAAGAAAGGTAACTCTAGGAATGTGCTGAGTGGGGCTGTCACTCGTGGGGGACAAGGTCAGCATCACCTCTGGGGACAGCAGTGCCAGCACAGCCGGCACACCCGGACACACACCTGGACACAGGGGCTGTTTCAGTTCCCCCCAGCCCCAGGAGTGTCTGAGTCAGTCATCTCCATTTCCTGTCAAAACAAACCCCAAACAAGTCCTACTTGCCCTGTAGGACTTCCTGCCCCCAGCTCTGCCTTCCCTTTGTCAATCATTCATTCACTCCCAACTCTTTCCCGCTGTGTTTCTGTCGTTACCGTTCTGGACAGGCTGATCCCCTGTGGTCTGCTCAGGCACCCCGAGCTGGCAGTCCAGCCCTGCAGGAGCTGCTGAGGTGGCACCCCGAGCTGGGAGTCCAGCCCTGCAGGAGCTGCTGAGGTGGCACCCCGAGCTGGGAGTCCAGCCCTGCAGGAGCTGCTGAGGTGGTGCTTTGTGCAGCACACAGGGTACATGACCACGCATCGGCCGCTCCCAGCACACAGCACCGCTTCCTCGGGATGCACAGCGCTCCAGGCAGAGCCTCGGGGCCAGCCTGCAGGGTCCTGCCCCAGCCCTGGCAGCAGGACACACCTGTCCCAGGCCCAGAACAAAAGCCAAGAGAGTTCTGGAGTGTGGAGAGGCACTACCATGGCTCCCACCTATGAGGGGACACAGAGCTGCTTCACGAGGCTTTTCCCAAAAAGAGAAAGCAAGTGGAATTGAAAAATTAAGGACAGAGCAGAAAGAACAGTAAAATAAACAGAATAGCCTTGAACATACTTCCTTCAAACCCCAGAATGTAACTGAAAAGTCCAGCTCCACAGTTAACCTGTCAGCATTTATTAATTCCACTAGGAATGTGATCTTTGGGTAACCTGAGCCCCCTGATCACACTGCTCTGGAACAGGGACAAAATACCCCCATCCCCCCAGGGACCCTCAAGGAGCCTCCTGCCATGTCAGAGCCACGTTTGCCACGTGCTCTGCCCACCGAGGCATTCAAGGCCCTCTCCTTACAGGATGCCCAAAGCAACACCCCATCCAGGGACAGCCTGGCCTGGACTTGCACAGCTTCACTACAAAAGTGCAGGCAGCAGGTGGGGATTTCACAGGCAAGGAGGAGACACAAGTCACCACCAAGCCTTTCCGTGCCCCAGGTGCCCACCACGCCAGCTCCCCTCCCACAGACCCGGGACAGCGGGGCAGGTGCTTACAGTGATTTCTTGAGTGCTAATGAAAAAGTATCTTTCCCTATTTTGCAAAACCATTGACAATAATCACCACAATTTTCTGTTTTCCACTCCAATGCAGCTGTTTCCCAGAACCCAGTAAATCTACAAACAAAGGAGACCCTGGGAAGTAGTAGGGTCTGTTTTCAAACCCTCATCTATCAGAATTCCTCACACGTGACCCTTCCCACTGGCTCCTGCTCATCCCATAACCATGAAGCATGGCCTGTGAACAGGAGCTGGATGGGAATGTGCAACAGTTTTGTCACACAATCTTTCATTTTGGTGATTCTGAGTTTCAGAGAGAAGTGACAGAATTTATATCCAGCTCAGCTGACAGCAAATGTCCCTCATCTGAAGGACAGAAAGGGAAGAAGCTTTTTTATGATTCATGGGATCTGTTCCACCTACACATGCAAATTCCACGAGCCATGGCGTGGGTCCAGTTCCTCCTGAGCCACGTCCTCCTTCAGTCTAGACCTGTTTGTAGTGCTCAGAGCTCTCAGGGGCTCCTCAGGGCCTGTCCAAGCACTTGGGATGGAGAAAATAAACCCTCTGCAGCCCAATGAGCCCTGCACAGCAAAACCCACCAGAGATCTGTGCGTGGACATGTGGCTACCCTCCAGCGCTGGCTGAGCTGTAAGTCGTGTCCTACAACTCCGGTCGCTGTGGTGAAGAGGCAGCTTTGCAGTCTGGGGGGTTATCAGGGAGTTTTGGCAACAAACAGACCCAGCTGCTCCCAGGGGTGTTTGACCCAACAGCTGCATCCCAAGCATTGCTGGGCAGCAGGGAGGGCAAGGCTGTGTTCACCCCTGGCCGGGCCAGCAGCCGGTGTGCAACTGGGAAGCTATGGAAAAAAAATATATCCTAACGGTATGCTACAAAAACCCACGGAATACCCAGGAAGCTGATGCTACCTGTGCATGCAGCACCTGCCCGAGCTCCAGGCAGGCACTACCCCTGCTTGCCTCTCACAGGGAGCTCCAAAAGAGAGCTCCTGGTTTGTTCCAAGGCCCAAGAGACCATTGAGGAGCTCATCACAGGGTGACAGAGCAGAATTCCCAAGAACTCAAGTTTTTTCTCTTTCTTTCTAAGCACAAGACACCAAGGTCATGGTCCCACATTTGCTCCCAAGAGCAAACATATCCCAGCTCATTCCACATCCAGGGAAGGAGGGGAGAGCCAAGAGTTTGGGCTTGACTCCAGAGATCCCTGAGCCAGGGGACTCCAGAGATCCCTGAGCCAGGGGACTCCAGAGATCCCTGAGCCAGGGGACTCCAGAGATCCCTGAGCCAGGGGACTCCAGAGATCCCTGAGCCAGGGGACTCCAGAGATCCCTGAGCCAAGAGGAAGCTGCTGCAGGAACTGGAGTTGCCTCGGCACTGGGAAAGGCACTTGATTTATGTGACCACAAGGCAAAGAACCTCAGCTAAGGACAAAGGAGCACAAAGCAGAACTGACACTGAGAACCACCAGGGCAGCATCTTTCAAATGACTTTTCCATTAAATAAGCCTGGATTTGTTGTGATCACTTGATACCCTGGGAATTACCAGTGCTGGGGTTTTATTTGAGCTCCTGCATTTCATAAATGGACTATGATCACTGGTAAAAAGCAGTTTAGTCACACAGACTAAATTCCGTTTTGAGAGAAAAAAAATTATTCAAGTCTTTTTCTGCTTTTACACTTTATATCTGCTACTAATTTTTGGTGACAGATCTTTATTCTCTAAAACCAAGCTTTATTCTCTCAGAGAAGTACAGTCACTTAAACACGGTCACTTAAAAGGGTTTTTTTAAAAAAAGAGGTTAGAATTGTTGCCCCTGAGAAAAGACAGTGGCTCACATGGGAGGAAAAAGGCCAGTGACTGCTTTTTGATAAAATCCTGCTGTTCTGGCCTCTTAGCGCACAACAAACATTTCGAACACAAGAGAGGGGATGGTCAAAAGCCATGGGCTCACAGGGCCTTAACTGGCAGCCTGTGGAACAAAGAAGGAAGACACAGGGCACACACACTGCAGGCAATGAACAGTAAATTGAATCTGTGGGGTCTCCCTGGCTCGATCCTCCTGCTGCCCTCCCGTTCTGCCCTGTGCAGTGTCACACTGCCAGAGCACCCAAAGCCCAGGCAGATTCATGAAAACACCCAGTGCTCAGCAGGCTGTGCAGCCCAACAGCCCCTGTTTGTATCCTGTGCATCCAGGGGGCCCTGGCTCCCAGGAAACCATCCCACCCCCCAGCTCAGCACCGGCACCTCCTGCCCCACATCCTGCTGTACCACATCACACACTGCCACGGAAACACACCCTGAAAGCACCCCTTGCCACAGAGCCCAGAAACTGCACCACAGGATCCCTGAGGTTGGGAAAGCCCTCCCAGCCCATGGATCCCCCCTGTGCCCCATCCCCACCTTGTCCCCCAGCCCAGAGCACTGAGTGCCACTCCAGTCCCTCCTCGGACACCTCCAGGGATGGGGACTCCATGCCTGACCAGCCTTTCCAGGAAGAAATGCTTCCTGAATTCTCCCTGATAGCTCACCTGAACCCCACCAGGGCAGTTCTAGGCCTGCAGGCACTTCCACTGACACACCAAACAAGCTGACTGCCCCTCTGCAGACAGGAGGGGAAGTATCTTGGCTAAAACCCAAGTGCTTTAGAACCACTGAATCACTGAGGTTGGAAAACACCTTTCAGACCATGGAGTCCCTTCCATATCTAATTGGGCTTTTTATTCCAATCTCGGGGGGAAAAAAAAAAATTTGCTGAACACACAAAGGGCTCAATTTTAATGGTTCTGTAGGAAACTTTAATACAAACAATCATTTTGAGGGAGTCTAACTCTGGAATGGGGCAGCTTTTTCTGACAACTAAATGCATTTTTATTGCTGCTCATCCTCTGTGTGATATAAAGGGCCAGAACACCAAACCCAGCCAGCAACACCCTGAGAGCGTGGCATTTCCATAAACCCCACTGTGAGAACAGTGTTCAAGAAGCAGAGGGATGACCTGCATGCAAATACACCCCACACTTACCCGGAGCAGGAGAACTTGTGTGCTGAGCCCGGGGAAGCTCCGGGGATGGTTATGAAAGAGGAACAGTGAAAGTCGAGCCACTCGCTCACCCTCCACAACAAAGAGATCCCCAGACCACCCCCACCGAAAGGACCAGCTCAGTTTTGTACGAGCTTGGCCGCTCCAAGCCAAGCAAAATGACATGTTATGTCAGCAGCAGGATTTTTTTTCCCCGAGTACATGCTGGCAGCATAAAAATCAGAGTGTGCTGTGCCAGGCATTCCGAGAGGCAAGCTCGGGGTGCCACGGAACAGCACACGGGTTTCATTTCCCTTGAAAGTGTAGCTTTACGGCTCTGTCTGCGGTTTGTTTTTGGTTTTTTTTGACTGATCGCAAAAGATCAAACAACCGCAACAAAGACAGAAAGCTCAAAAGACAACAAGCAAACTTAAAGCAGCCTTATGGAAAAGAGCGAGCTCGGGGGGTGTCCATTGTTCGCACACACACCGGAGGTTTCCAGCCGGCTCCGGGGTGTTTGCAGAAACACGAGCACACTGCAGCTGTCCCACAGCACCAGGCAAGCGCCCCGGGGCGCCGATTCACCCGTGAGGAGCAGAGGCTGCGGGGACACCTCGGACGGGCGAGGACTAACAGAGCCGCCCCTTACCTTGCCGTCCTCGCAGCGCTTCACCTGGCCGTCCCTGGCCTGCAGCTGGCTGCTCAGCTGGCTGTAGTCCGCCTCCTTCTGCTCCAGCTGCTTCCTGTGCGAGTCCACCTTGCCCAGCAGGTCGGAGTTGCGGCGCTCCAGGCGGCCCCGCGCCACCTCGGTGCGCTGGGCCTGGCTCTGCAGCTCGGCCAGCTCCTCCCGCAGCAGGGCCTGGCGGGACGCCGCGTTCCAGCAGTGGAAGGCGAGCACGGCGATCACGGCCAGCAGCGCCACCAGCACCAGAGAGGGCAGGCGGCCGCCCCGGCGGTTCGCGCCGAACCCCACCATGGGGGAGGCCGAGGGGGCGGCGGTGTCCGGGCACGGGGGGGCCGCGCGGGGCCCTGAGGGCACCGGGGCCGAGGGGGAGAGGGGGGACCCCGGCGGGGGGGGCGCTGAGGGCGGCGGGGAAGGGGAGCCGGCGAGGCCGGCGCTGTGCCCGAGGGGCGCGGGGCGGAGCGGGCGGTGCCGGTGCCGGTGGCGGTGCCGGCAGGGACCGAGCAGGGACCGGGCACGGACCGAGAGGGACCGAGCAGAGCCCGCCCGGCTCCGCCGCCACCGCGGCGCCCCGCCCGCCGCTCTCGCGAGACGGGCCCGCGCAGCTCTCGCGAGAGCGCGACCCCGCCGTGCCCTGAGGGCGGGCCGGGCTGTGGGGCCGTCACGGCCCGGGACGGGCGGGAGGGGACAGGGCACGGTGAGGGACGGTGGGGACGTTAAAGGACGTTAAAGGACATTAAAGATCATCCAGTCCAACCCCCTGCCACGGGCAGGGACACCTCCCACTAGCCCAGGTTGCTCCAAGTCCAATCCAACCTCGCCTGGGACACTTCCAGGGATCCAGGGGCAGCCACAGCTTCTCTGGGCAACCTGTGCCAGGGCCTGCCCACCCTCCCAGACAGCAATTCCTTCCCAATATCCCATCTATCCCTGCCCTCTGGCAGTGGGAAGCCATTCCCTGTGTGCTGTCCCTCCACCCCTTGTCCCCAGTCCCTCTCCAGCTCTCCTGGAGCCCCTTTAGGCCCTGCAAGGGGCTCTCAGGTCTCCCTGGATCCTTCTCTTCTCCAGGGGAACCCCCCCAGCATTCCCAGCTTGGCAGCAGCTCCGGGGCCTCTCTGAACTCACTCCAGCAGCTCCATGTCCCTGTGCTGGGACACTGGGGCAGGACCAGGGTGGGCTGTTCACTCCTCACCTGGAAGGTGTTTCCCGAGGGAACACAGTGTGCACTGGGAATGAAGTGAGGGGATGAGTCTTTTGTTCTATAAGAAACACTCAGATAAATCATTTATTGCTGATCATGTTGCCTCACACGCCGTTCCTGTTGCCCCTCAGGCAGCAGAGGTTTTCAGGGAGCTCCTGGGCACAGCAAGTGCACGGCACAACCCCGGTGCCTCCAGCTGCAAACGGTGTGGGGAGGATGTGGGAGGAACAGAAGGGTATCAGTTTTCCTCCTAAAAGAACAAAAACAGCATTTAAGAAATAGAGTATAAAATGTGCTCCTGAGACACGCCACGCATTGTGCAGAACCTCAGCTATGACAAAGGTGTCATGATACATACAGCCCTTCTTCTTTCCACCCTGATTCCAGCCCTGCATCCCACTATTTGCACTTTAGCACTTTAATTGCTGCTACGCTGATGGCCCATTAATTTGCCATCGTGCTCTCTGCAGATGGCAGTGCAGATTCACATTCCAAATCCAGCGTCGCAGATATTCCCTCCTTGTGAAGCTGGACAGTTCCAGGGTTTGAGTCTGCCTCGTTCAGCTTGTTCTTTCTGGCTGCACTTCCCCTGCGCCAGCCTGAACACTCTGAGCCAGGAAATGTTTGTCTAAATAACAATATAAACACAATATAAACGTGACTGATTTGATCTCAGAACGACACCTGGGTTTATTTTACGTAACTTACACCTGGGTTTCACATGCTTTTGTTTCGTACCACCCCGTAAGCCTGCTCAGAAATCTCCTGCTTTCATGTAGTGCTCAGTGATGTTCCTCACTCTCCCATTTCAGCTGTTTCTCTTGGAATTTATGTGATTTCCCAGCTCCTGGAAGTTCAGCATCAGAACTGGCCCCTGCACGTTTTTTGTGGTTTCCTTTGCACATCTGGGAGCTGAGGCAATACCAGGGAGTTTTCTCTTTACAGTTAATTTGCCATTTAATTTCAGCTGAGTTCCAGGCCCCCTGATCCTGTCCTAGTCTGCTCTTCTCCTGGTTGGAAAGGTACTCCTGTTCCCTCTTCCTGGCTGTAATCTTGCATTGCATGTTGGAATAACATATCCCAGGGCATCTCCAGCTCAACCTCTGACCAGGATTTGGCTGGTCCTTTGCTTCTCTGGCTTGTGACCTCCCAACGTTACGGTGGGAATGGGGAGATCCTGTCCCTGCAGCACTCAGTGTCTCATCCTGAAACACAGTGCAAGCACAGGAATTAAGTTTTAATCCTTGGACCTGTCATGGAGAAGGTGAAGAATGCAAAGAAGAACGGGTATCTGGGATTGTATTAAAATCTAACAGATGTTTCTATATATCTTTTCCATTAATCTGCTGCTGATAATATAGTCAATGGCTATTTGACAGAAGAATAGTAATAAAATAGCAAACTCTTATATTCATTAAGGTAATCAAGAAGAAATAATGCAGTCAGCATTTATGGATTTGTTGGTACCTCACAGAGAAGAAAAACTGATTTAATGGAATTAATTTTCTGTTACCATTACCAGGATGTCATAAAAACGTGCAGAGGTTTGACAATCTGAAATTACAGTGGTTCTGGAGGGTGTTAACCTTACCCAAGGAGGAATGGTTAGAAGTGGTGGTGACTGCAGAGCAGTGTAAGCAGCAGCATGAGAGCCTTTGCCAAGGGAGAAAACACACAGAACTGCCTCAAAAACTGCAGACCTGCTGGTTCAACCCTGGTGCCACTAAAGCCCAGGACAGGGCAGCCTCCTTGCTTGCTTTTGCTGGTGAAACCCATAATACACATTTGATTTTCTTCCCTTCAGACATTGCACTTTGCAAAGAAACCGCTGATTATTTACTTCCTTTTCTTTTTCCTGCTGTAAAGATGGAAAGTTTAGGAGCCCCACATGTGGTATTTTTAGAACCAGTGCTGTATTGTTGCTGCCCTGGCACTTCTATCAGTTAAAGCAATAAAACATCTGAGTTGCTGTCCTAGTCAAGTATTTTGATCCCTTCAGAATCTGAAGCAGGTTTCTAAATGAAAGATAAATTTAGCTATGTTTATTTTTCATGCCTAATTTAACTCAAATATAAGAAGACAGTCTGATTTAATAATCTATTCAGCATTACAGAAAATTGGTGATTTTAAAAGTCTCTAATTAAATATTCTAAGATCCTGTTTCCTTCCACTGCATCAGAATGAACCTTTTTTTTATGTATTACAAGTTTGTGGTTTTTTGCAAACATTCTGAACACAGAGCTCAAATTATCCCAGACTTTTAGCATATCCTTAAAAACTGATTAACATACTCCATCTGTTGGTACGCCGAGCAACTGTCCAAATGAGCAACATTTCCATGGAGATTTGTAAAACTACAGCTTAAGTAGGAAAACAGCTCTAGCAGGGGAGCACTGGGGTGTTTTATTGCAATATGACTGTGGCAGCTGGAGATTGTCTTGCAGAGTGGCCACCACGTCCTCACTTCAGAGCAGTGTCTGTTCACATTTTGGGTCAGTAAAAATAGTCCATTTCCCATTCAGCACATTCCATGAGTGCCCAGGGGTGGTCATTTCCCAGGGAACAAGGGACAGGACAAGAGGAAACGGCCTCCAGCTGTGCCAGGGGAGGCTCAGGTTGGACATCAGCAGGAATTTCTCCCTGGAAAGGGTGGTCAGGCCTTGGAAGGGGCTGCCCGGGGAGGTTTGGAGTCCCCCAGCTCTGGAGGTGTCCAGGGAAGGACTGGCCGTGGCACCCAGTGCTCTAGGCTGGGTCAGAAACATCTCTTTGCCATCTCTACTAAAGTGTAACTTTGGCTGCAGAACTCAATTAAGGCCTGTTGACCTCCAAGGCAAATGTTTGCTGTATCTCTGAAGGGTGAAGGTGGCACTGGAGCAGCTGGAGGAGGAGTTGAATGGAATCAGTTCTGGGTTTTAGAGCTGAAATGGGGTTATGTTTATTTATGGCCACCTGAGGTTTGGAAATCGTTCTGACAATAAGTGCTTTGGAGTGAGGTATCAGAATCAATCTCTTCCAACATGTTGCTTTATGAGAACAGACCAGGGAACATCTGGGGCTGACTCACCAAATGCCAGCCCAAAGAGCAGACCTGTATCCAGGGAACTGGGACTGGCTTGAAGCTGCCCCCCAGGCGGGGAGCAGGGAGCACACGTGTTCCTGGGAAGCAGCTGGGGAAGCACAGGGCAGAGTTTGGCATTTTGGAACAAGGTGCTTTCTCTTGACAGCATTTCACAGAAGAAAGTTTGTTTTCTCTTTTAACAGCAGCTCCAAGGGGCTGGTGGGGTTCCTGGAACAGCAAATGACATTTCCAGCAGGGATAAAACCACAGCTGTTGGCAGGAGCTCCCGTAGGTTATTGTGGATAATCACTGGAAAGGCAAAGCATCGATTTGGTCTGCTCTTTGCAGGGAACTGTCCGTGTGGGAATGGAGAGAGAACGGTGCCCTGGCAAGGGCTTTGTGCTGAGCTTCCCAGAGGAGCTGATGGTTCGGAGCTCCTGAGCTCCTGGGGATGCAAATCAGGCTGGGCATGCCCAGGGCAGAGGTGGGGGGATCCAAATGCCCCCTTTCCCTCGGGCAGGGCTGGTTGCAGGAAGGGCAAAGCACTGCTGTGGATTTCCCTGGAAGGAGAGGAGCTCCAGAGCAGCAGAGCTGCAGCCAGGCTGCTGCAGCAGCTGTGGAAGGAGGTGGCCTGGGGAGCAAGATGAGAGGCAAAATGAAGAATATCCTCGGAGATGGGGTAGCATGGCCTTGGAGCGGGTGCAGGAGGCCTGTGGGCATTCCCTGCTCCTGGAGGGAAAGGTTCTTGTGCTGGGAAGAAGCTCAGCTGGAGTGCAGACAAGTATTTTAACACAGTGGGTTGCGGTTCTGTTGTCTCACGTTGTGGTTTCACAAAACATTCACCCTCAATTACTGTTTCTTTGTTGCTGGGGAGCACAAGCAGAGGAGGAAAATAATAATTTAAATTTAACTCTGCTAAATATACATGAGATTTCCTGGGACAAAGAAAAGACTTCTGTAGCTTGAGGGGGTGTTGCTGTGCCAGATTTCAGAGGCTCTACTACAGCCAATAACATTCTTAGAGCAGCTTAGTTGGAAGCATTTTTATAACATTTTTTTAGGCAACACAAATACAGCCATTGCCTCCAGGAGTGTGTGGGGTTGCTCTGGAAGTCACAGCAAATATATCTGTGGGTGCTGATTGTTATGGATTTATTTACGGGAATTAGAGAGAGTCCAGGGTGATACAAGTTAAAGATCATGCCCTTAAAATTTAAAGAAAATGTATGAAAATGTATAAA